GGTCTCTTGAATATTGATGGTTATTTTAATAACTTAATCAAATTTCTAGATGATGGTGTAAGGCAGAACTTCATGGCTTCTAGTCAGAGGAAGCTTTTTATTTCTTCTTTCTTTATTGATGATCTATTAAACAAGCTAGCGTTTGCTAAAGCTTTTCCGGGTCCTGGGGCTAATTATGAGCAGTTTGTAAATTCCAGGGGATTAGATTTAGAATTGCATTTGTAATATTACTTTATGTAATTACAGTTGAATTTGTGTTAATTAATATTGTCTATGAACATAATGAGTTAACCATAAATATTATTCTAAGTTGCATGGCCAGTGCAAGTCAGAAAAATATCTATTTTTAACATCAGAATGCATCGTGTAAATGTCAAACATTTTCTTCAAAGATGGGTTAAATGAAAGATTTTATTATGCAAAGTGTTCAACACACGAAGATTCAAGCAGTTACAAATATTCTCGGGATACAAATCCAAGGATATTTTCTTGTTTACAAAAGATTTCTACATTATTCAATACATCCTTGAGCCCTTGTAGCACTTTCACAGAGTATCATCCTTGGGTTGGATTCTTTGAATTGTTTCGTGTTTTAGAACGTTGACTTGTTCCTGAGCAAACAGGTTGATTTTGGACAGAAGTAACTGAATATGGTTTAGGGTTAGAAGGACATTCTCGTTGGAAATGTCCAGGTTTACCACAACTTAGACATAATCCTTGCGCACGCCAGCAATCTCATGGATGGTGTCTTTTACAAACGTTACACTTTGGATGTTTCCATACTCTCATTCTATTCATGGATGACGTCGATTGAATTGTCATTGATTTTCCCCTTTTTGAGTGTAGGGAACTATCAATTTCTTGCAGAGGTCTCTTCCCACTTGTATTGGGTTGTTCATTTACATTGACAACTTCAATCTTCAAACTTTCATAATAATCACTTCTTAGATCTTTGTCGGCTTTAGAGATTAGGTTGTATGCCTCAATGAAATCCATAGTTTGAATAGTAGATACATGCGACCTGAGATAAGGTCGAAGTCTTTTGCGAAACTCCTCAATGCGGTCGGTCGCTGTACTTACCAGTGTGGGTGCAAATCGAGCAAGATGGACAAATTTTTGTCGGTATCCAGGGAGTGTCATATCTCCTTGCTTCAATTGAATAAATTCGGCACGCTTCTCTTCACGGAATCGAGCTAGAATATATTCCTTCTTGAACGCCCAATCGAAGAATTCCCAAGTCCATGGTTTGGGTGTGTTTAGATTTTCGTCAGTGCGTTTCCACCATTCATAGGCTTCCTTGCGGAGCAATTGAGATGCAAATTTTGGATGATCAGCAAGAGGTATGTTCAGATTTTGTAGTACACGAGCGGTCTGCTCGATCCATTCAAGAGCGATCTGGGGTTCGGCAATTTGATCTCCCAAGAACTCCTCATCACCATTATCTTTCAAGGTTTTGAAAGTGATCAAACGAAGTGGTGGTGGAGGTGGTTGAAATAAAGGGGCATGAGTCATTTGTTGCAAGAAGTTTACCATTAAGGTAGG